GTGTGCATTATTTGAGTCCAGCCTTTCTGGAAGCTGATGTGTTTTTTATCTGTAGGTGCAGAGCTGAGCTTTTCAATTGCCAGTGAGCGGGGGCTGCAGCCCTAAACTACAAGCCACTGGTGGAAATAAACCTGTAAGCTCAAATCCCCATCATTGGGCAGAAAACCAGAGAAGTGAAAAGGAGTGGGAGGAGAGAGAAAGACAAGCTGGGAAAGGGGTTCAGGGTGCATCTCTCGGCCGTGGAGGGAGCAGCACAAAGCCTGATTTTAATGTTAGAATTTAAAGATGAAACAGTAAACATCATTTTGCCCTAGGTTATGACACTCCTTTTTTTAGACTGCCCTTTTTAAGGTGGGATTTGTGAAGGCTTTGACCATCTGTGCTGCTTGGCTAGAAATGGAAATATTAGACACAAATGGTTTCCAAGGCCTGGTAATTGCAACTCCAAAATTCCCATCAATTCTATTTTCTCCCTTTCCCTTTACCAAAAAGTAGTGGATCTAAACACATAGTGGGCTAAATAAATGTGTTGCATAGCAATTGACCAGATGAGTGGATGGGTGGATGGATGGATGGATGGATGGGTGGGTGGTTGATGGGTGATGGATGGAAGGGTAGGTGGATGGAGGGTATATTGGGTGGATGGAGGGTGGGTGAGGCTGCAGGGGGTGGGGTGGGGTGATGACAGGAGCCAGCCAACCTGGTCATGGTGGCCCACGTCCTCCCCGGGAAAAGCTGTAAGCAAAAGCTAAGAGGCGGTCTGTGTGGGACCCATTGGGAAATCAGGGTGCACAAAGTGCCTCCCACGACAGCAAGTGGGGCCCCCAGAAGCCTGGTCTACTATGTGAGGATGGTAGGGATGACACTGATATCCAGAGAGAACCTCAAGCAGCAGCTGAAGAGGGAGGGATGAAGGCATAGGCCGCAGAGAAGGGAGGAGCCCTGGCCAAGCCTGAAGTGGGCCCTTGCACAAGGCAAGACCGGCAGGGAAATAAGGCCTCCCTGCAGGTGTCCCGATCCACAGCCTCCGTGAAGGTGTCACTTCACATGGCAAAAGGGAAAGTTAAGGATCTTGGGTGGGGACGTTATCCTCGGTCTCCAGGTGGATCCCGTGTCATCATAAGTGTCCTAGGTGGAAAGGGGGGCTGAAGGGGTGGGGGGCAGCGAGGTCTGAGGGCCGTGGAGCAGTGAATGCCAAGGCCTACAGGGGCTGTGTGGCCCGCCCTGGGGCTCCCCGAAGGAAGGCTACCTGCTGGCACCTGGATGTTAGCCCCGTGAGACCCATTCCAGACGCTGAACTGGAGGCTGTAAGCTGTTGTTTTAAGCCATCAAGCATGTAGCGATTTGTTGCAGCAAAAAGAGGAAATTAATGCATCAGTGAGAGCTAGGTTGCCAACTGCAGGTTCTGTTGGCAGATACGCTGGCTGAACTCGTTCTGTGCCCCGGGCATAATGCCAGGGCCTGAGAAGACACCTGGAGAGCAGAACCATCTGCTGGATCTTCTCACCAAGGAGCTGTGGTGCCTGGGGGTGGAGGGAGACAGGGGCTTTCTGGTTATGGAATGAATGATGGGTGCTCAACTCCAAATTCACCCCTCATTACCTGCTCTGTGAAAATGGAGACAAGCCCTTAATATTTTTCCTTTGTCAGTAGGGGGCGCTGGCGACACACTTCGGAAGGACGGGCTTTGCCTTCTGATCCTGGTGTGCTGTCTGCAGGGTGGCCACCCCGGGGTGGGGGGCAGGGGAGCCTGCAGCTTTCCTTAGTGTCCACACTGAGTGCTTGGGAGCAAGGACCCTGGTGAGCAGCCTTCCAGCGAACAGCTGTCCCCAGCCTTGCTCAAGCTCCACTTCCCGACACAGCACGCTGCCCCCACCCTCTCCAGAAGTCCTGTGTCTAAGGGTCTGTCCCCGGCTGCCTAACAGACAGCCCGGGCAGTGGAGACTCCTACGGCCAGCCACGGCCTTTGGAGCCCTCTGCACTTCTTACTTGTCCATCCCCCATCCCCTGCCTTTAGTCAGCCTTTGTGTGCAAGCAAGCCCGAGACGGACGCACGCCAACACGGTGAGACAGCCTATGTGTTACCAGCACACAGAGCAGAGAGGGAAGCTCACTGGGGGGG